ATAGAGAGGACCTAATTTAAGACATCGTAGACCGCAAGACATGATTTGGCTCCTCTTGTTTTTGGCACTCCCTAGGCTCAAACCCACTTTTCTGTTTCTCTCATTGGAGTTTGTAGTTTAGTTGTAATGCCTGTAAATTCATGGACCCTCCCCTCCTCATCTATCCTAATCCTAATCCTCTGTTTTTCAGTCTTCTACCTCTTCCCTCTCCCAACTTCCGCCATTAACGAACAGGGTCAAGCTCTACTCACTTGGAAGCTCAGTTTCAATGGATCAAACCAGGCTCTACGTAATTGGGACCCTAACAACCAAACTCCATGTGGGTGGTTTGGAATCACTTGCAACACAAACAGAGAAGTAGTGGAAGTAGTACTGAGGGACGTGGAATTACCTGGTGAACTTCCTTCGAATTTCTCTTCACTCTCGTCGTTGAACAGGCTCGTGTTGTCTGGTGTGAACCTCACCGGTTCCATTCCTAAAGAGATCGGTGTTCTTAGCCAGCTCCGGACCTTGGAACTTAGTGACAATGGCTTAACTGGAGAAATCCCAAGTGAAATATGTGCCTTGCTAGATCTCGAACAGCTTGACCTCAATTCGAATCATCTCGAAGGATCAATACCTGCAGGGATCGGGAATCTCACGAACTTGAAGGAGCTGATTCTGTATGACAATCAGTTAAGTGGTGAAATTCCCATTAGTATAGGAAATTTGAAGCAGCTTGAAGTGATTAGAGCTGGAGGGAACAAGAACTTACTTGGTTCTGTGCCGGAAGAAATTGGTAACTGCAGCAGTTTGGAGATTCTTGGTCTAGCTGAAACAAGCATCTCGGGGTTCCTTCCATCTAGTCTTGGCCGCCTCAAGAAGCTTCAAACATTGGCAATCTATACTACGCTACTCTCCGGCCAGATTCCTCATGAACTTGGCGACTGCACTGAGCTCCAAAACGTTTATCTCTATGAGAACTCGCTCTCCGGCTCGATCCCAAGCACGTTAGGAAGGTTACAAAATCTCCAGAGTTTGCTAGTATGGCAGAACAATTTGGTCGGCGTTATACCGATGGAGCTAAGTCAGTGTAACCAATTATTGGTTATCGACATTTCAATTAATTCCTTGACAGGAAGCATTCCTTCAACGTTTGGGAACTTGACATTGCTCCAAGAATTGCAACTGAGTTCAAATCAATTATCCGGTGAGATTCCGAAGGAGATCGGAAGCTGTTCGAGAATCACTCATATCGAGCTTGATAATAACCAGCTCACTGGTACGATCCCTTCTGAATTGGGAAATCTCACCAATCTGACATTGCTGTTCTTGTGGCAAAACAAGCTCGAGGGGAGTATTCCACCCACCATTTCCAATTGTGGCAACCTCGAGGCTTTGGATTTATCATTGAACGCCTTGACAGGTTCGATTCCGACTGGAATTTTCGAGTTGAAAAAGCTTTCCAAGCTTCTGCTCCTCTCCAACAACCTGTCTGGTGTGATACCGCCGGCGATTGGTAACTGTTCGTCTCTGTTTCGGTTACGAGCGAATGACAACAAGCTCACAGGAGAAATTCCGCCGGAGATTGGGAATTTGAAGAACTTGATTTTCCTAGACCTTGGAAACAATCGCCTCACTGGAGCGTTGCCTCCGGAGATCTCCGGCTGTAGAAATTTGACATTCCTCGATTTGCATTCCAACTCTCTAACAAAATCTCTTCCAGAAGAATTCAATCAGCTTTCTTCTCTTCAGTATGTTGATCTCTCAAATAATCAAATCGAAGGGACGCCGAATCCGAGTTTTGGAGCTTTCAACTCGCTCACGAAACTAATTCTCTCAAACAACCACTTCTCGGGGCCTGTACCGACTGAAATCGGTTCCTGCTTGAAACTTCAGTTACTGGATTTAAGTTGCAATCAGCTCTCTGGAAATGTTCCTCCGAGCTTAGGGAAGATTCCTTCACTAGAAATTGGTCTCAATCTGAGCTTAAACCATCTAACCGGCGAGATTCCCCCGGAGTTTGCAAATTTAGACAAGCTAGGGTCATTGGACCTCTCTTACAACCAACTCTCAGGCGACCTCCACATTCTCGCAGACCTGAAAAATCTCGTAGTCCTCAATGTATCACACAACAATTTCTCAGGGCGTGTGCCGGAGACGTCATTCTTCACGCAGCTCCCTCTAAGCGTCCTCTCGGGGAATCCGGACTTGTGCTTCGCCGGCGAAAAATGTTACGCCGATAACCACACCGGCGGCGGTCACCACACGCTAGCGGCTCGAGTGGCCATGGTGGTGTTACTGTGCACGGCGTGCGCACTGCTACTAGCGGCAGTATATATCATTCTCAAAGATAGACATTCGTGTCGAGGATGCTTCAATGGGTCCCGCGGTGAAGATTCAGACGCCGCCTTTGACAGCGACCTGGAGCTTGGCTCAGGCTGGGAAGTGACATTATACCAGAAGCTTGATCTTTCAATCTCCGACGTAATCAACTGCTTAACGCCAGCCAACGTCATCGGCCGCGGCAAGACCGGTGTGGTGTATAGAGTCTGCATCTCATCAGGTCTAATAATCGCCGTGAAGCGATTCCGATCATCAGATAAGTTCTCGGCGGCAGCGTTTTCATCCGAAGTCGCAACACTGGCGAGAATCCGTCATCGGAACATCGTCCGATTGCTAGGGTGGGGGGCGAATCGGAGGACGAAGTTGCTGTTCTACGACTACTTGCCGAACGGGAATTTGGGCGAGTTGCTACACGAGGGAAATGGGCGCGTGGGGTTGGACTGGGAGAGTAGATTCAAGATAGCATTGGGAGTGGCGGAGGGTTTGGCTTATTTGCACCACGACTGCGTGCCGGCAATACTGCACCGGGACGTGAAGGCTCACAACATTCTGTTGGGGGATCGCTACGAGGCGTGTTTGGCGGACTTTGGGCTCGCCCGCTTGGTTGAAGATGGTCCAAGCGGTTCGTCTTCCGCGAACCCCCAGTTCGCTGGTTCTTACGGCTACTTTGCACCCGGTAAGGTCTAAACTAATTATTACAGTAATAATGAACAAAAATTACTATGGTATATTTTGGTAATTTACCTTTTTTCCATCTTCTAACTTATTTTAGAAAAATACTTTATTAAATTTCTTATAATCTTTAAAATTTTAATTTCCCGTTCATATTTCTTATAATCGTAATTTGCGTACGTATTTTTTATATATAAAAAAATAAATTAATATAGACAGTAGGAGGGAGGATAAGAATAAAATGGGGCAGGATGATTGTGACCGGTGAGAGGTTGCAAAGATTTTCATGTCATTTCCTTTGGAAATTTGCACTTTTCAATTTTAGAATTTAGTTAGAATTTTAAAAAGTACTTAAGAAAAATGATTTTTTTTTTTAAAATTTGTTTCTTTAATATTATAATTTTTTCCGCAGAGTATGGCTGCATGTTAAGGATCACCGAAAAGAGCGATGTGTATAGCTACGGCGTCGTTTTGCTGGAGTTAATTACCGGTAAAAAACCTGCAGACTCATCATTTCCAGAGGGCCAACACGTGATTCAATGGGTGAGAGATCATTTAAAGAAGAAGAAAGATCCGATTTTGATAATGGATCCCAAACTCCAAGGTCGACCCGACCCGCAAATCCAAGAGATCCTCCAAACATTAGGAATTTCCCTACTTTGCACTAGCGATCGTTCTGAAGAAAGACCGACAATGAAAGACGTAGCAGCTCTTTTACGGGAGATCCAACAAGATCACTTGGCAAACGTAGTAGAGGCCATTGATAAGCCGCCACGAAACAATAGCAACGCAACAAGTTTGGAAACAACAACGTCATTTTCATCCTCCTCTTCTACAGCTCGTGCGAGTCATTTGCTTTTCACGTTGCCTCTTCAGGAGTCGTCACGTTGCTCATATGTGTCATTGTCCTCATCAAGCACGTATACGCCGCGTGAACAATGATATTTGCTACAATTTATTATTAAGAAAAATTAAGATTAAGATTAATGTAAAGGAATTAGCTGTTAGACCCCTTGAATGGAGAAAAAAAGGAAAATATAATATTAATATATATTTTTTATAAATTCATTATTATTGATCTCTTCTATTGCCGTCTGATAAATGTGAATTAACAAAGGCCATTTGGTTTCTTACAAATAATATAATTCAAGGTTAATTGGAGAAAATAAAAATAAAAATAATAATAAAATTCAGTTTGGTTGGGCGGTAAGTGGAATTATAAGTGAATAATTGATTAAAGTTGCGTCGTTTTGGAAAAGGAGCGAAGTGAAAGGTGAGTGGGCGTGTGCACGTTGGAAGGTTCTTGATTGATCTGTGCTTGTGAACTGTGGAGTGAGTGCGAAAGGGAATAATAAAATGTGAAAGGGAAAATGTGTGGTACTAAACCACTCCCAGATGGCCAATGATTGGGTTATTTGAAGTACATCCTTCTCCTTCATTCCTTCGACTATGATCGCTCGAGTCGAGTGATCAATAAGTTAAAGTTTTGAATCCACACGATCGTTTATTGTTGAACTAAAAAAATATATACTTCACACCGACTTCTCAAAACGTGTTGCCTCTTATCTCCGAGACTTCATCGGCATTCCTTTCTCTTCCTTTGAAGATCCTAATATTCATCCTATGAATAAAACACACAAGTTAGGAATCAAAGTAAATACATAAAAGTTCCACAAAAGTAATGAAGAGCTAATAACATCCACCTGGGTTGAAAAATTTCATATCTAAATGTGCGAACGTAACCGTCCAAGCCTATTGCCAACAAATATTATCCACTTTGTCTCACGATTTTTAAAACGCGTCTACTAGGGAGAAGTTTCCACACCCTTATAAGGAGGCTCTAATACCATTTGCAATAGCTCAAGTCCACCGCTAGTAGATATTGTCCGTTTTGGTCCGATACGCAATATCCACTAGCGGTGGGCTTGGGCTATTACAAATGGTATCAGAGTCAGACAAGGACATTCCTTAATAGGTGTGAAAACCTCTCCCGTTGCGTATCGAATCAAAACAGACAATATTTAATAACGGTGAACTTGAGCCGTTACGAAAAAGAAAACAAAACTAAAAAAGAATCAACTCTTTTATACACGACATTGCTTTAAAAAGAAAAGGAGAGCTCAAACCAGCACAGACTAAAGAAAGAAAGCTGCAACGAGTTCAAGAAGTTAGTGTAAATGCGAACTTTTAAGGGAAGTAGGTTGGTTTCAGTTTTCATGGTAGTGAAAAGACGCACTTCAAACAAACAAAAAAAAAGGGCTTGAGGCAGCCACAGTGGATGAACATGGCTTCCCATTTCACGAGGACCTTTAGCACTAAGCTTGTCACCGAAGAGTTCTGGTTTTTCCATGAAAGAAATTTAGTGTTTCTTGAAGACCCTAAATTTAGATTAGATTATAGTTTCTTCAGCTGTCTTTCTATTTTCAGCTTTGGCCTTATCAGCTGAAAACAGGAAATGGGTGAGTGGTCTGCAGTTGGCTAAGCAGCAATGGTTAGAGTCAGAGAGATGGAACAGTATGAAGTTTTCAAAAGAAAGGAGTTCTTTTGGAAGTACCTTCTCAATATTTTCTCTAATGCTATATTTGCAAGCACGCTGACATATTTCAGTGATGGGTGCGTGACCCAAGAGCTCTCTCACAGACATGCTTTGAAAACTTTGATGTTATATTAATCGGTGCAGACTTCCCGTCCTAAGCAGCGTGGGGTCTATAATGTCTGGCCTGTTTATTGCCCCAATTATAAACACGGTCTTTGTAACCGCTCAAGCCACCGCTAGCATATATTGTCTTCTAGAGAGAGATTTCCACGCCGTTATAAAAAAGGCTTCGTTTTAAGATTTATGGTATAACCTCTGAGTCTGATAAGAAATGATGGGTTAGGCAAATATATGTTAAGACCTGAGTTGCTATAGAATAGTACAGAAGGAGGTGACTGACGAGCCTTATCAAGTATCTCTCTCACATTTGCCTCACTTTCACCAAACCACAATGTCAGCAACGCAGGTCCTTTCAGACTTATAAAGTGGGCATAGCATTCATTGGCAATTGAGTAAGCAAGTAGCGTTTTGCAACAGCCAGGGGACCCAGAAAACAGAACACCTTTAAAGAAGGGAAAAAAACACGACAAATCTGAGAAATTAGATGCACCAAAAGCTGAAAATTATAACTAACAGGGCACAAGCCTCCTGGAGCTCTATTTCAACATTGTCCATCCCATCAATACACCATCTCATGAAACTTTTTGTGAGGTCCCCTTCGATTGGAGAGGGGAACGAAACATTTCTTATAAGGGTGTGGAAACCTCTACTTAGCATATGCATTTGAAAATCGTGAGGCTAACAGCGATACATGATGGGCTAAAACGGATAATATCTACTAGCGGTGGACTTGGACGGTTATAAATGGTATTAGAGCTAGACATCGGACGGTGTATCAGAGAGGACGTTAGGTTCCAAGAGGGGTGGATTGTGAGATCCTACATCGGTTGGGAGACGATATGTCTTTCCATTTCTCGTGTGTTGTCTCCCTCATTGGAGCAGTAGAATCTGGCTCATCCATAAATATAATTGAGGGGGCATTCTTTTAAGCTTCCACAAATGCCTTTCTCAGATTGCTTTCGCTCTCACCACCTAACTTGGACATTATTTTTGAGAAAGAAGAATGCACTTGTGTCATTAGCAACAGCTCTTGCTATAGGAGTCTTTCCAGATCTAGCATGCCCATATAGCAATATCCCTTTTCTAGATTTTACACCAATTGAAGAGTTGTGGGTGTCTACCCAATAAGAGGTTTCCACGTGAATGTTTCGTTCCCTAATCTAACCAATGTGAGATCTCACAAGCTACCTCTTTGGGGCTAGTATTCTCGCTGACACAATGCTCGGTGTTTGACTATGATACCATTTTTAATAGTCAAAGGACACCGTATAAGATAGTGCCTGTCACTCATGACTTCATTCTCCAACTTGAGATATCACAAATATACACTTCAAACCCGTCTATCTCAGAAGTGAAAAAAAGAATTGCAGAATAACAAGAATTTCCAAAAAAACAGCTCTTGAAACAAGCTTAGCACCAACTCTTCTCTTGTCTAACTTTTAAGTTAAGATACCACTAAAATATGCATCAACGCATCTTGTCATTTGAAACCCAGGAAAATTCACAGCTAATAACTCGCCTGAACAGGAACAATCAAGATAATAAACGATAACTTACAGGTCCGATGAAGAAGAATGGCCCTTATCTGAAGCAGATAAGGCTAATGGGTCTGTCATCGCTTCATCGTTTTATGCTTTGAACACCACAAATGTTTCTGCAAGTTTTCAGATCATCGGTGACCTGCGGAGGGAAGATATCAAGAAATGGAAAAAAAAAAAAAAAAAAAAGGCCATGCTGTTGTAAAGAAGACGGATAATCCAGATAGCTCGTATACACACGTCGTTTCCAAATGATTCTTTGAAGCTAATGGCGGGTTGCCAAGGAAGCAACGTTATCGGTGATGTAGGCGCCATTTTACAGTTTGACAAATTGAGGTTAATATGCTGCTTGGATCCGACGATCCGCCAGTGAATCTGGGCCTGGCCCAACTTAAACCAGCCCAATTTCATTGCTCGAGAAAGATGAAAGCATGGCGGCTACTGGCGGTGATCGAGCTTTGTTCTTCTGGCTTGCTTTTCAGGACCACGGCGGTCCTGAAAGACAACAATTTCAGCAAAGTAAATGATGGCGATCGAAACTAGTGGAAGAATAGAAAAAGTAAATGGAAATGAATTGAGGTATGAGGAATTTGTAGAACGATACATGGAGAAGAACCAACCTGTGGTTTTGACAGGTCTTATGGATGATTGGAAGGCTTGCAGCGATTGGGTCGACGAGAATGGGCAGCCAAATCTACGGTTCTTTTCCACGCATTTCGGGAAATCCAAGGTTCAGGTACTAAATTTATGCTCAATGTTCATATCTGTTCTTTTTTGTCTCGTTTCATTTCATCACGATGCATTGCGATTCAAATTCTTTGTATATCCGGAGATTTTATTCAGTGGAATAAGGAGGAATCTTGCTCTTGCAACTCAAACAGCATGAAGAAGGATGCATATCTCCTCGTTGCTTAAAGATTAATGACTTAGTAGTATGCACCGATTGTGATATCTTTTGGAAGTTGGTGAATGTTTAGTTTAGCGTTTCCTTTGACCGTTGCCTTTCTGGCTCAATCCCGGAGGAATTCGGCTTGAACATTTTGCATTACTTGTGTGATTGGGCCATCTCATCTAGTGATAGAAAGAAAGAATGAGTCTCAAGTCTTTGTTTCAATTTTTATAAGGTTAGATAATCATTTGCCATTTGTAGGTTGCAGATTGCAATACTAGAGACTTCACAGATCAGATGAGAGTAGAAATGTCTGTTTCAGAGTTCATTGATCAATGGTGCAAGGAGGCTGTACAGGAGGAGCGTGGCGTTACTTCGAACAATGGAGATATCGACAAGTCTGTACTATACTTGAAGGACTGGCATTTTGTGAAGGTGTAAGCAGGAATCACTTATCCTCTACTTATCATTCATTTTATTTACTTTCCGTGTTGGAACTAATGGATATATATGCCTATAACGAACAACAAATTTGAGGCCTAAGTAAGTTGTAAGAGCCCACGCTCATCGCTAGCAGATATTGTCCTCTTTGGCTTTCCCTTCCGGACTTCCCCTTAAAGTTTTAAAACGCGTCTACTAGGGAGAGGTTTCCACACCCTTATGAAGAATGCTTTGTTTCCCTCTCCACCCGATGTGGGATCTTAGATAAGTCGTACTCCTAGTGCCGAATTACTGGGTAAAATGGTTGGTTGGAACACACTCAAGACCAACATGGCTCTTCTAACCCCGTGTGATGTTGCCTTGTACGCCTTAATTCAAGCATGTTTTATTAACAGGCGCAGTTCTTAGGATAGATTTACCATTCTTGTTGACGAGTAGATTGGAATGTAGTTCATCTCAAGCTTGACTTTGAATCTCAACTATGAAAAGCTTAGGAATATCCATAGTTTTCAACTGAGAAAAACAATTAAAGGGTATATTGACAAATGGTGGAAACATTTTGGTATGGTTTCTTCAGATGTCCTATGAATACGCTAGACTGCCATTGAATTATTGTAACAGCCCAAGCCTATTGCTAGCAAATATTGTTCGCTTTGGCCAGTTACTTGTCGCCATCAGCCTCACGATTTTAAATGCGTCTGTTAGGGAGAGGTTTCCACACCCTTTTAAAGAATGCTTTGTTCCCTTCTCCAACTGATGTGGGATTTCACACTTTATAATGTAATTCTTAAATTTCCATGTTCGATTAGTCTTTACATAATCATCTTACATTATTATTGTTTGGAACATGCTGGCAATAGACTTTAGCCTGTATGACTGTGTCAAATTATGGGCTTTGTTGGTTAGAGAAAAGCTAGATATGTTGTCTCACATGCCTTTCTATCCTTGTTGATCTGATTCTCAGGAATACCCAAATTATGCAGCATATTCAACTCCACACTTTGTTCGTGATGACTGGCTCAATCTATACCTCGACAGTTACCGTATGCACAGGGATCCCGACTCTTACCAAGAGAAGGATGAAATAAGTTGCTCCGACTATCGTTTTGTTTACATGGGAGCAAAAGGTATAGCATCATACAAAATTGTTGCACTTTTTTTTTTTTAAATGTTCGGCCTCATCAAAACTTTTACATGGTTCTTGATCAGGTTCTTGGACTCCACTTCATGCCGACGTTTTCAGGTCATACAGCTGGTCGGCAAATGTTTGTGGAAAGAAACAATGGTTTCTTTTGCCTCCTTCTCAGTCTCATCTTGTATTCGACAGGCATGGACATAGTTCTGTTTTTTGCGCTTTACCGTTAACTGATGGTTCAATGTGTAGATGACGATCTTGTTCTAATTTCGTAAGTAGTCGCCAATTTCTGTTCTGAGGGACGTGTGGATTTGAATAACTAATTCTTTCCATTACATTAGTACTTAAGATTGAGAAGAGAAAAGTGATGGAAAAGATGCTAAAATTCTAAGCTGAAACAAACCTATGAGCTGACTGTTTTTTCTTCGTCCTAGAGAATTGCTTTGGTATGCATATGTTCATACGACCGTGACCTTCGAAATCCCCCTCCCCCGTCCCCCGATCTTTGGACTTCGTCGTTGTTTCTTAACTTTTTGTTTGTATCTTCAAACAGGAATATGAAGGCCTGCATATATAATATCTTTGATAATAATATAAGTGAAAATTTGTTTCCTGGTTTTAAGAAGGTAAATATGATTCCAGATGTTCAACGTCTTCACCTTCTATCGCTCGAATATATCAGCTTTTTTCATGTTCATGTGTTTATCATTATGCAGGCTACCTGGTTGGAGTGCATTCAAGAACAGAATGAAATTATATTTGTGCCAAGTGGCTGGTATCATCAGGTTCATAATCTGGTATTATACTTCCTTATTTCTCTTATGCCCTTGTGGTGCAAATTGATTTGTATATTTCATTGTTTTAGGGGTCATTATTTTATGATTAGCTTAAATTGTCCTTTTCATTCTCAACTTCCGATTAATATTTCTCGACTGGTGTTGAACTTTAAGGTTCATTCATCGTAGTTTGTCCGACCAGGAACCGTTCTATCTTTTGATGTGTTTGTTTCTTTGCAGGAAGACACTGTATCAATAAACCACAATTGGTTTAACTCCTACAACCTCTGTTGGGTGGTAAGGCTTGTTATTATGGGCAATACACAATCTTTGTTGACAACAGGATGAACAATATTCTGATTCAACTGGCATGTTTCCTGCTCTGAATTCCATTCTTTCAGCTGGACTTGATGGCACGGGATTACAATGAAGCTAAGGAGTACATAGAAGACATTAGAGATATATGTGATGACTTTGAAGGTCTCTGTCAGCGCAACCTCGCAGCGAACACAGGTAGCGATTAGCTTCAATAATTTTAGTCATGAATACGTTATCTTCTTAATATATATTTTCGAATCTTTACCCAGCATGTGGAGACCAGAGCATCACTAGGGAGCAAGATCTTAAGAACTCCTGTTTTCTCGTTATTAGGGTTGAGGAATGGTATCAGAGTCAGACGTCGGGCAGTGTGCCAGTGAAGACGCTGGCCCCCCAAGAGGGGTGGATTGTCAGATCCCACATCGATTGGAGAGGGGAACGAAGCATTCCTTATAAGGGTGTGAAAACCTCTCTCTAGCATACGCGTTTTAAAAACTGTGAGGCTGACGTCGATACGTAATGGGCTAAAGCGGACAATATTTGCTAGTAGTGGGCTTGGGTTGTTACACAACACCAATGATATTCTATTACTAGTTAATTTTTACAACTTTTTTCTTCCCTTTTCAGGCATGAACTTCTATGATTTCTTCATCTTCTTAGCACGCTTTACTCTTGCCAATTTGGTGGTATTAGACAATCTAGCTAGAGACACCGAAAATGTTGCTGGGAGCTTATCTCCAATGGTTCAACAGTTGGCTCACAATCTTGCTTCAATAAAGAACATTGTCTTGAAAATGAAATCCCTGGAATGTTTTTCAGGAGACCAAGGATTCATGTTGGATCTAGGAGAAACACACAAAGATCCCAAGCTTTCTAAACTCTGTTACTCTTTAGTTCAAGCTTGTGGGTCCATACATAAACAACAGATTTCGAGCCTTTGCATGAAGACAATCGCAACACACGATTCTAGATCTTTGACTATCATTCAAAACTTTTGTGATGGTGTATCATCCCCCCAAGATCTTGTCAAATTTATCGACACGGTCTCAACAGAACTCGCAAAATCAGAAGCACCAGAATGATAGTTCTCATGTCATACATGCACAGCTGATATCCAAGCTCGTTGTTGGTAGAACAGTGTGGTTCATTTACCAGGCATTTGAGAAATAAGAAATCAGAATGAATGATGAATCTCACTAGTGCTAGTCCTCCTGGCATTGAAGTGACAAATCTTTGCTTTCAGATTCTCTTTCTCTCTCATGATTGGATCGTTGCAGTGATTCAAAGAAAAGGAGGGAAACAGAGGTTAGCAGTCTGTGGTATGATTTGAAAGCGACCCCATGGTGGATCAAATTGTGGGTGCACCCACAAAAGATCACCATCTTTTACGGGCCTTTGCTTTTTTCCTGAACCGTCCCATAAAAGTGTTGTTTCCTTTGCTTTTGTTGGTAAAGTAAACTGTATTATTGTATGCTTTTTCAGTTCAGGCCACCACACAAAGATGAGCGCCTGTGGTTAAAGTTGGCGGCACCAAGCTGTGGCGTCCATTTCACTCTTCCCCTCACTCACTGGTTCATCACTCCCTCTCATCTCTTGTTTTTTATCCAACAATCTGTTCTAAACAAATCTTTGGAACTATTTAATTAGTTTGTGATGCGAGATTTCTGTTATTTGTTTGTCTCATGAGATGGACGAGTATCTAAAGCATGTAACGGGTTTGATCTTCCACTCTGCAATTGTTTAAACGGTTGCTATACCGACTTTTTTGAATTAAAACTCATTTGCAAGCTCTCCCTTTTCCTAGTTGTGTTTCAATCGTCGTTTTTCTATTTGATTATTGTGGTCGTGTATTTCTAACGAGAACTTTAAACTTGCAGTGATTCATAGATAAGGAGTGAAAATGAATTTAGAATAATAATAATAATAATAATAAAGTTTGGATGTCATTGACCACTGCCATTAATTATTGGTTGGTTGACTTTTGATACACTCCATTTGATATATTCACTCACTCACTCACTGCAGATATTCTGTATGGTTCATTTAAAGATAGAGGCTTTTAAAAGAGCAATGGAAGTATGCTTCTTTATTGCTCCCCACATGCAAATCCATAAAGTATGGGACCTTCAAAATTGATTTGAGGAAAGATTTCTTTAAACAAATCTGCCACTTTAATCATTTTTTTTTTTTTTTTTTTTTT